AAGACATCTCGGCACGATAGAACTGTGCGACAGAAATGTCCAAGCCGACCAGAGACGAACTCGCTGCCACGGTTGAGGTGGAGACACAGCACAGGAAGACCGCAGTGGAGGCGCGCAGCTACGACCCACGGGATAAGAACTTTGGGAAGGTCGGCCTTCCGCTCCAAGGGAAACACCGTGGTGTAGCATCTGTAGTCGTCAACGAGCACTAGAAAGTAGCGCTCGCGACGCGGTCCAGGGACGGGGGCTGGGCCCTAGACGTCCAGGTGCAGGGTTTGGAGGGGTGCGGTGGCAGGACGAAGCGAGGAGGAGTGAGAAGCATGGCGGAGCCAGCCCTCGACGCAGGGCGTGCAGAGTGGCGCAGGCGAGGAAGGGAGGGCAGGAAGCGACGCAGGGAGACCTAGGACAAGACCGTGCTGATACATGTGACGCAGACGCGGGAGTGCGGGGTGACCTAGGCGGTGGTGCCACCGAAGCGACGGGTGAGTGAGCGACCGACACGAGCACGCAGTGGCCACCTACCTAGACGCAGGACCCGGGGAGGACGCCCCACCCGGAGGGGAAGCAGTGTCCAGCGTTGAGAAGCCAGACACCGGGTCCCGGGGAAACATCGCAAGGGGGGAACCTGAGGCGGCCTCGGTACAGACGGCGTACCGCTTGTGACCCGGGAACGTAGTGGTGACGCCGAGGTCCTGAAGACAGCCGACACCGACTAAGTTTCGGGAAAACGAGGGGATGTGCAGGCCTATAAGGGAACCCGAGGGGACCGCTGGAAAGGGAAGGGTAGTGTAGCTGCGAGCAAGTACAAGACTAGAGGAGGCGTCAGCAAGTGCGACAATGGCACGCGCGGCAAGCGGCATAAGCGCAGCGTGGTCGTGGAAGAAGCAGGCAGCTGCACCGGAGTCAAGTGTGAAGGACAGCAAAGCAGTAGCGGCAGACGAAGGAGGAGCGAGTGTGGAGGCTAGACTAGACAAAGCAAACGGTCCAACGCCTGACACATCAGGGGTCTCTGTACTACACACAAGTGCTATGCCTAAGCTAGAGAATACAGGGTAATAAGATCCGGACACACTAGAAGCATCAGCATACAGAGAATGCAAGGCAGAATTAATCTGATCCATGTCTAGGCAGAATTAAACAGGAACACTGTGGCGCAGCAGATTGGGCCAGTCAGGGAGGTCCAGGGCCGGGCCGAAGCGGCGACGAAAGAGGCCGTCGAGGAGGCGGAAGCAGCAGGCGGTCGGGTGCGAACGGCGGCACACAGTGCCACGAAGGGGTCCGGTCTGGAGCTGGTACTGGCCGCCCACAACACCGTGGGGAAAGCAGAGAGATCAGGGAACTGTATGGGGAGGATCAAGCATCCAGCTGAGGCAAAGGTAGGCGTGGAGTAGCGTGCAATTACTGCATCTAGGAAGTCTTTGGCATTTGCTACAGCAGTGAAGCGGGGACGCTCAGATAGGGGAAGTGCATGACTAATGGCAAGCTGCGCTACAGCATCGCGAGAATTCTAGACAGCGCGAGCGAGTGCAGCAGCAACAAAGGCCTCATTCTCAGTAGTGGTAGGATCAGGAGGGAGGGGATCAGGTGCGGAGGGGCGGGGAAGCAAGCCATCAACATGCATAGCGAGGGAGTGCACGTCCTAGCGCTGACTTGTCAGGTGCCGGCGAAGATCGACAAGCCAGGCAGCGAAGTTGATCGCGCGCCCCTCCGCGTCCAGACGTAGCATGGCGTCCGCCATCGCGAAACCTCAGCGGCACCGGGACATTGCGGCACATCGGCACAGGGACACAGCGGCGCAGCGGCACAGGGACAAAGGTACTCAGCTGCACGGCGAGACAGTGACTTGGCGGCAAAACTCTCCGAAACAGGGAGCGGGCGTGCGAGGAGCCGGAGGGCGCGCAAGGGGGGGGGCGAGCAGGCGGTAGGGGCCGGCTTGGCGGTAGAGGGACCGGCGGCGACGCGAGAAGGGGCCGGCTAGGGCGCGAGGGGCCAGCGAGAGCGCTAGGGGCGGGCTAGTGCACGAGGGGCCGGCTGGGCGCGTGGGTCCGGCTGGGCGTGAGGAGCCGGCTGGGCGCAAGTGGTCGGCTAGGGCGCAAAGGGCCCGCTAGGCACGAGGGGCTGGCGGCGGCGCGATGAGCCATCGAGGGTGCGAGGGGCCGGCTATGGCGCGAGGGGGCGGCTACGGCGCGAGGGGCCGGCGACGGCGTGAGGGGCTGGCTAGGCCGCGAGGGGCCGGCTAGGGCGTGAGGGGCCGGGACGGCGCGAGGGGCCGGCTAGGGCACGAGGGGTGGCAGCTAGGCGCGAGGGGCCGGTTGTGCGCGAGGGGCCGGCGGCGGCGCGAAGGGCCGGCTAGGGCGCGAGGGGCCAGCGACGGCGCGAGAAGCTAGCGACGGCGCGAGGAGCTAGCTAGGCGCGAAGGGGCCGGCTAAGCGCGATAGGGACCGGCTAGGCGCGAGAGGCCAGCTAGGCGCAAGGAGCCAGCTACGGCGCTAGAGGGGCCGGGTGGGCGCGATAGGGCCCAGCGAAGCGCGGTAGGCTAGGGCGCGGGGCGGAAGCAGGTGGGGGGGGACCTAACCTACTTATGATACCATGTTAGAATACTAGAATGATTGGAAACAAGGGTGAACAAGGGAAATATAGGGTTGGAGTTGTACTCTCTAAGAACATACACCTATCTAGCCTATAACTTATACATATTAGCATATGTATAAGTTGACACTAGGCATTATCGCGCGTCAAAGTAGCTTGCGTAATCAAGGTCAACTCCCTCCGCTTAGCCGCACTTTAAAATTTTGAGAAACTCTGACGAACTCCTCCAGCTGTAACCCAGACTCTTAAAATACTCTGGTACCCCTGACCAGCTAGCCGTGCAAACATTCACCTATCTCGCGGCTGCTGCAGATTACCCAAAAACCGCTTCGCTGCTGCTTAACTAACTCCTCTAAAACCTGCACTGTCAGAGGCGTGGAGGGCACACGATAAATTTGGCTGGACTAAAGAAGTCACCGCACGACCGCTGGACACCTTCTGCCTCCCGACGTGCCAGGGTGAGACACTCGGAATCTTACACCTGCAAAAGTCATTAACTCCTCAGCTACACCATGTGAAATCCTCAGCTCCACTTCAACAGTAACTCTTGAATTTTCAAGGACACCCCTCAGCACTGCGTAGATTGCAGGTTCAATCCCTTTTAACTATGTCTGGACGACCCATAGTCGACACGACGACGTGGTGGGAATGGCGATCTTTGGGCGACGAAGCTCCGTCAGCAGGGGATCCATTGCTGCCTGACGTTTAACTAAAACCCAGCTTCTTCCAATCGTTTTACTGCAACTGCTTCATCTCTTGATGGTTTGACGCTTGCGTCACCACGGTGGAAAACACTTAATACGCAACCTAAGGTTGTGGCCTCCGTTTCCGTTGATCGTGGGGGTATGAAAGCTATTCCACGAAAACGCCTCCCCAATCCAGGAAGTCGTCCCCGCTGAAATATTCAAGAACAGCTCCATCACCGCCATGTGAGACAGCCTATGCAAAACAATGCCGAGGTAGTTGGCCTCGTGCTGCTACTGTCTTGCGATCGTGCGATCGTGGCAGTCCGACTATGCCTTGCCGGAATAGTCCCGTCCATCACCTGCAACTAGCCTACCAGAAACGCTGACGCCAACGACGCAACCGCACTTCACCATGCAGCTACATGGCACGACAAACGCACGTCGCCGTACGTCCCGCCATTTTCGCCCATCTGCGCGCTCCTGACGACCATCACTCCGCCGGCGGAGGATTCCCGTGCACTCGTTTTCTTCTTTAAGACTCCTAACAATTTTTGGAAACCAATCCGAAAACGCCATTAGAACCTCCAGAAAATTACGAAACACCAACGAGCATACCCTGAAAACTCTGGCGAAAACGTCGCCATCTCTCGACGGAAAATAATTCCGCTACGCCCGGGGAAGGGGAGGACCGGCCAATCCCATACGTCACCAGCATCCTTCCCCCCTCCTTCACCGATCGGGACTGCTCCCCTATCGGAACCTAGATGGGCATAATCGTGTCACTGATACCAGCTGCTATGAAATATAACTCAGAGTATAGCGCAGAATACTATAGGGGAGCGTGACTACAGAATTGTTGAATGCATCTAACAATGAAAGGCGTATCGCTTATATATTGCTAGTTGACCAGGTTGAAACTTGAGAGTTGGACTGGTCAAGGTCTCGGTAGTCCCGAAGGTGACGGGGTCAAATTGGGTTCGGGGCGCTTCGGTAACACGTTCGGGGTCGATTAGTCGGCGGGGGTGGTTTGATGCGAGGTTCGAGGGCTGAGGCTGCGCTGTTCGCGTTACTCGCTGTGGCGAAACCTGGTAAGGATTCGTGAAATTCTTACAGACTGGCTCCAGTTACACTTAATCCCCCTTAACGAACAGCTTCAAGCATGGTTAGGTTGCACCCGATTCGCTGGTTTTTGGATTAGAAGGGTCGCCGCGCCATGCAGAGGACTGGTTTGGTCCAACTTCTCGTGGAACTGGAAGTGCCAGCATGGACAGATGCACAGCCACGAATGGTACTCTATAGCAGGAAGGAAGACCACATCTTGCTCCGCTAGATCATTATAATTTGCTGACGTGGCTATGCCATGTGGACTTCAGTGTGAGTTCGAGCGGGTTTCAAAGTCAGGTGCGGGTGCGGCAGTGTGTGATTTACGGCGGCTCGTTGTGGGGGATGAAGGGGCAACTTTCCCAGAGATAACCGAGTATGGCAGTGTGTGGCCAATCCAACTCCTCTGTTGATACTCAGGCTGTGTTCCGAATTTCCAGATTTGACCAAGTTAATACTCTTGTGTCAATAGGGGACCGAAGGGTTTGCGACGACACAAGGTGGTATTTTGAAGTAAGAATATGCTGACGTGACAGGTAAGAGAAGAACACACACTCCCTACTCACGCATTCTCCCCGCTCGTCACTTGACATGCCTTCCATGCGCCAATGACTTCTGTTAGTACCAGCTAACCACATCTACAGCGCCAGCCTCAGACTTGTGTTGTCCTTCTCCTTCCGCAGCAGCCAGTGCTTGCCTTGCCACGTGATCACGTCACGTCCCTTGCAGGCATACGGCGAGAACTCTAACGTGTCTGTTTAATTACCGCCTCCTACCTCGTCGCCTCCCTCCCCCTACCGCTTTCTGCAGCGACTGCGCCGTTCGCGATGGCTGCTACGGTAATGATAGCGCGCCGTGCTACGTAGTAATAGTGCGCCGTGCTACGTCGCTTCGTTACATCGATGAAAATCGTTAATGGCTCATGCGTGAGCTGTTTTTGAGTCGACTCAAAAGCAGGCTATTACGCGGCAATCATGCCCGTACCTGCGAGAAAACGTCTCTTCCTCTAGTCTCCCCGCGTCTCTAGTTGCTGCAGAGATGTCGAGGATAGAGCAGTTGTCAAGCCAGGATCTCAAGCAGAGCAGGCGTCCTGCATCTGTGAGGAGTCTATTTTTGAGGAGTCTATTTTTTAGGCGCCTCAAAGATAGAGCAGGTGTCAAGCCAGAGTCTCAAGTAGAGCAGGTGTCCTGCATCTAGTAGTAGTGATTCCACGGGCGACACGCACTCACTCTCCTCCTCCTTTAACTCTCTCCTGCCTCATCCACTCTTCCCCGCATCTCTCCCGCCGCTCCGTGCGCTTCTAGGTCTCCCGCGCGCTGACCGTCACATGCGCGGCGGCGGCGCGCCACGTCACGGCGGCGGGCAGCAGCAGCGCGCAGCAGCAAGTGCAATGGACGGCGAGGGCCCTGGAGAACAAGCCGATGTCGGAGCTGCGCGCTCTGGCGAAGCAGCGCGGATTGCGGGGCGACACGAAGGCAGAGCTCATCGCACTGCTGACGTGGGTGGTTTCCATTTTTCTCCTTTTCCCTTTTCGTCTTTGGGGAGCCTGTCTCTATCTTCCCCTGTGGTGTTCTCCCCTCTGGTGTCTTGCCTCTTGCTCCGCTGCTGCGCAGCTCTTTCCGAACGGTCTGTGTCCTTTACTGTCCGGTTCTGTTCGGTTCTGTTCGGTTCTGTTCGGTTCTGAATGGTCTGTGCCCTCTTCCCCTTCCTTGCGACATTTCCTACCACTGTTCGCTACTTCGTTCACTCTATTTCCAACCTCTCCGCCTTCGCATCCCACGCAACCCATGCGACATTCTCCTTGCCCCTGCGACATTCCCATGCGACATTCCCCTGCGGCGCTCCCCGCAACAGGTCCACAGGCAACCTCAGCGCAAGTTCCGCCTCCGTCTCCGCCTCCGCTTCCGCTTCCGCCAGCGCGGCGGGCGCGGAGGGGCAGCGGCAGCGGCAACTGGACGTGCTCCCGCTGGCGCAGCTGCGCGCAATGGCGCGGAGCAGAGGGCTCAACGCGTCCGGCAGCAAGGCGCAGCTAGTTAAAGACCTATTGTGAGTTAGCAGCAGGAAGAGAGGGGGGGGGGAAGGGGGGAGTGGGAGGGGGAGGGGGGAGAGGGGGGGGGAAGGGGGGAGTGGGAGGGGGAGGGGGGAGAGGGGGGGGGAAGGGAGAGGAAGAAAGGGAGAGAGGGGGAAAGATGGGCGGAGAGGGGAGAAGATCAGATTAGAGGGGAGAGATAAGAGAATAGGAGAGGGTGCGAGCCGGGGAGGAGTGGAGATGGTGGGATGAAAGTGGTAAGGTAGTTGTTGAACATATTGCGAGCTAGCGAGGCATGGAGTTATTTGTTTGTAGGCGCACCTTAGATGAAACGCCTCTGACTGGGAAAGCAAGCAGGCGCAGTTGTTCCCCTGGCCTGGGCGAAGCGTTCCTTCTTTAACAGGGTAGGAACGAGTGCCCTTCTCTCCCATTTTGCCCTCCCAACTCTTACCCTTCCGCCCCTTCCGCCCTCTCCGCCCTTTCCGCCCTCTCCGCCCTGTCTGCATCTTCCCTACCCCAGAGTCGCGGAACTCGGCTTGACTGCATCCGCGCCCTCCACCTCCACCTCCGCCCTCCGTGGCGCTCCTCCGCCTTCTCCCCCTCCCGCGTCCCCCTCCGCCTCCGCGCCCTCCGCCCCCGCGCCCGCGTCCCCAAGCAAGACGTGGAAGAACCAGCTGCAGGCGCAGCCGCTGTCCGCCCTGCGCGCCCTGGCGCGGGAGCGGGGGCTGCGGGGGGACACGCGCGCGGAGCTCATCACAGCGCTCAGTGTGGACCCGCCCGCAGGCTCGGAACTGCCGGGCCTGGTGCCAAACCTGCCAGCCTCGTTCGACCTGCCGTTCCAATCGGAGGTGCAGGCAGGGGGCAGCGCTCTGGAGCCAGCACAGGTGGGGGAAGAAGGGGGGATGGGGGATGGGGGGGGGAAAGGGGAAAGGGGGAAGTGGTAAGGGTGGAGGTCAGTGGGGAGGGTAAGTTAGTAAAGGGGTCGAGAAAAAAGGGAAGGGAGCAGGGGGGAGTTCGAGGGGGCGTGGAAGGGCCCTCGGACCTACACCCCCCTTAATCCCCGTTCCTTTCTCCTCTCCCCTCCCTCTCCCCTTCCCCCCCGTTCCTCCCCATACTCGAGACAGCCTTCGGGAGCAGGCGGACCTTGCAGCACCCCTCCCCCATGCTCTCCCCCTTCTTCCCACGTTCCCCCCTTCCCACCCCCCTTCCCTCCCTAACGCGCCCCCTGTTACTCCCATCCCCACCTCGCCCTGCCCCCACTGCCCTCCCCATACCCGCAGGCGTCCAAGCTAGCAGCAGAGCTGGCGTCACTGTCAGCGACAATGCAGGTGCTGCAGTCAAAGCAGGCAGCGCTGTCAGGCGAGAGGGACAGCCTGCGGGAGCAGGCGGATCTGCTGAGGAACGTGCTGGTGGGCGGGCTGGGACTGGCGCTCGTACCGCTGCTGCTGCCGCTGCAGGCCACCAACACCGCCGTGCAAGGGAGCTCGAGTGTTACTGCGAGTGTAACCCAGGTATGCGCAGCAGGCAGCACGCAGCATGCAGCATGCAGCGGGCAGCATGGAAGCATGGAGCATGGGTCGGTGTCTTGCCAGTACTGTGGGCTGTGGGCTGAGGGCAGAAGGGGGATTGAGGGGGGAGGTGGGGACCTCCATTGCACCTGCCTTCACTTGCTCATCGCATGTACCCTCTTCCCTCCCTTCCCTCTCTCCTCCCCCCCACACCCCACCCCCCCTTCCACCAGTCCCTGCCACCCCCAGCGCCACCTACCCCGATGTGAGGGAGCTGGCACCAGAAAATTTCTGCCGGACGCTGGCACGCTGCATTGCGCCTGTCATCCTTGCTCATCACATATACGGTCCCCTGTCTTTCTTCCCTCCCCTCCCTCCCCTCCCTCCCATCCCTCCCTTCCCTCCCCTCTCTCCCTTCCCTCCCTCCCTCCCCCCCCTCCACCAGGCCCTGCCGCCCCCAGCACTGCCTGCCCCCGAGGTGAGGGAGCTGGCTCCAGAGGACTTCTGCCGCACGCTCCCCGCGTCGCTGCTCTCGCCAGACCTCGCAAGATTCTGCCAGGCAGTCAACGACCTGGGGCTGTGATCGGGGATGAGAGGGGGGGTGAGGTGGGGATGGGGGGGAAGCCGCTCTGATTGTGAGGGGTGGGGAGATGGGGCGTTGGTTGGGGCATGGGGACCCAGGCGTCGCTACTCCAGGCGCCGCTGCTCCAGGCGTCGCAAGATTCTGCCAGGCTGTCATCAACCTGGGGCTGTGGTCGACACCTCCGATTGAGGATGCTTGCGGTGTGCGGGGGCCAGAAGGTGATGGGGGAAAGCTCTGAGCACGGGGGGTGTGGGTGTGGGTGTGGGTGTGGGTGTGGGTGTGGGTGTGGGTGTGGGGTGTAGGGCGTAGTGTAGGGTGTCAGGTGTTGTGTTGTGTCGTGCGTGTGCACGTAAGGACGTGTGAACAAGAGCTTCGTTTGGCTACCTACCTACCTGCTATCGGTATCGCATAGCATCGGCTCTTTTCATTCTCACCGACATTTGCTCGTTTTTGAGCAAGTGGTGCTGCTGTTGACCTGTGCTAAGGCAAGGAGGGAGCCACTGGTTTGCCATTATACTTTCTTGTCATCGCCATTTACCGTATCTTTGCATTTGTTACATCAACAATACACGTGTATGCTGATGTTTCTAAACATTGTTGCATAGAAACCATGTGAAGTGCAGTGATGGTGTCGTCGCCACACTAACTGCACAAAAAAAAAGCACACCAGACTGGGCCTGTCCGGACCAGACCAGTTACCGTACTAGCCAGAAGGTATGTTGTAGCACTGAGTCATTTCGTTTCCAGCCATGCAAGGACGTAAAAAGAAGCCAGGTTCTCAAGACGCCAGCTATGCTAAAGCCTTCAAGTCACAGCTCATCCCCTGCCACCCCTCTTTCCCCCCTCGCCACCTCTTGCTCCGCATCCTGGCCCCTCACTTCCCCCTCCCCTCTCCCTCCTCTCCCGCTCTCTCCCTCCCCCGAATCCACACCGGAAGCATAGCCAGCAGAAGAAGTCTCACCCCTTGGTGCTACATCCTGCTTGCTCTCCTTATTGGCAACTCCTTTTCTGTGAATAAAGACTTGGGGTTTCGTTTCCTGGGGCCACCAAGGGCGGGGTGAAGAGAGGCCGGGAAGGCCGACAGTTGGGGGTAGTTGGGGAGGCCGAGGAGGGGAGAGGGAACACCCGGACAGGGGGGTTGGCATAAGGATAAAGCTTTTGAGTAGACTCAGAAGTAGAGGGCGGGGATGGGAGACTGACAGTAGAGGAGGGTTTGGGGGGCCTAGGAGGGGAGAGGGGACACCCGGACAGGGGTGTTAAGGTAAGGGTAAGGGTGAGGAGAATTACGAGGAGAATGAGGCTGAGGATGCTGGCTGATGGGTTGACATTACCAGGAGAAAAAGCGAGTGTGGAAGTAAATTTGTCTCAAGTGTTTTTTTAACTATCAAGTGAGGGTGAATTACGAGGTGAATGAAGCCAATTATGTTGTGGGGGGACTGGCGTTACCAAGATGTTGATGGGAGACCAAGCGAGGATGGCGGGTAGGGGAGGATGGCGGATAGGGGAGGAAGGTGGATAGGGGAGGAGGGTGAATAGGGGAGGAGGGTGGATAGGGGAGGATGGTGGATAGGGGAGGAGGGTGGATAGGGGAGGAGGGGAATCGCTTACCAGGAATGGGTAGGGGATGCGAAGCGGGGGCATGCGGAGCACACGTGGATGCTCATGCACACGTGTCGTGTGACAGTGTGAGGAGGCGACTGCTGCGTCGGCTCAAAGCTTACAAGGACTGGATAGGGCATGCGAAGAGGAGGCATGTGGAGAGTGCGGAAGCTCGTGCGCACAAATCCACTAGCGTTGGCTATGGGGTCGTAAGACGGGACAGAGGGATGGGCGCTGGTGGGAGGGGAGGGAGGGCAGGGAGGTGTAGGGAGGTGTAGGGAGGTGTAGGGAGGTGTAGGGAGGTGTAGGGAGGTGTAGGGAGGTGTAGGGAGGGCAGGCAGGGCACAGAGAGGGAATCGACTTCATGGATTATCAAGCAGGGATGGAGTAAGAGGTTGGGATGGAGGTATGGGCGCCGGTGGGAGGACAGGGGAGGTAAGCAGCAGGACCTCTTTTTTTAGGCGCCTAAAAATGGACTCCGGTGGGAGAGTGGGGGAGGACAGGGGAGGTACGCAGCAGGACGGGTGACGAAGGAGAAGTATATGACAACATGCTAAGGAACGAGGCCAAGAAAGAGGGCGAGGCGAGGACTCTAATATAATCTAAGCTGCAATGAGGAGTGAGGGAAACAGAGGGAGATGGGAGTGCACGAGAAACGAGGACGTGCTTGCAGAACACGTGTGGCCCGACAGTACGGAAGGACACAACCAGGCAGGGAAATTAGGCAGGGGAAGTCAGGCAGGAGGGAAGTTAGGGAGAAGGAAGTCAGGGAGAGGGGAGAGAAGGGGCAAGTACATACCTGAGAAGGTATGAAAAGTTGAACCCGGAAAGCTGTGAGAGTGTGAGGCCCTCCTGCTTGGAATAGCTGCGGTGGGGTGTGGGGAACATAAGGGAGCGAGATGGGAAGAGGGTGTGTGGAAAGAGCAGGGGAGCATGTGGAAAGAGCAGGTGAGCATGTGGAAAGAGCAGGTGAGCATGTGGAAAGAGCAGGTGAGCATGTGGAAAGAGCAGGTGCGCATGTGGAAAGAGCAGGTGAGCATGTGGAAAGAGCAGGTGAGCATGTGGAAAGAGCAGGTGAGCATGTGGAAAGAGCAGGGGAGCATGTGGAAAGAGCAGGTGAGCATGTGGAAAGAGCAGGGGAGCATGTGGAAAGAGCAGGTGAGCATGTGGAAAGAGCAGGTGAGCATGTGGAAAGAGCAGGGGAGCATGTGGAAAGAGCAGGGGAGCATGTGGAAAGAGCAGGGGAGCATGTGGAAAGAGCAGGTGAGCATGTGGAAAGAGCAGGTGAGCATGTGGAAAGAGCAGGTGAGCATGTGGAAAGAGCAGGTGAGCATGTGGAAGAGCAGGTGAGCATGTGGAAAGAGCAGGGAGATGTGGAAGAGCAGGGAGCATGTGGAAAGAGCAGGGAGCATGTGGAAAGAGCAGGTGAGCATGTGGAAAGAGCAGGTGAGCATGTGGAAAGAGCAGGTGAGCATGTGGAAAGAGCAGGTGAGCATGTGGAAAGAGCAGGTGAGCATGTGGAAAGAGCAGGTGAGCATGTGGAAAGAGCAGGTGAGCATGTGGAAAGAGCAGGTGAGCATGTGGAAAGAGCAGGTGAGCATGTGGAAAGAGCAGGTGAGCATGTGGAAAGAGCAGGTGAGCATGTGGAAAGAGCAGGTGAGCATGTGGAAAGAGCAGGGGAGCATGTGGAAAGAGCAGGTGAGCATGTGGAAAGAGCAGGTGAGCATGTGGAAAGAGCAGGTGAGCATGTGGAAAGAGCAGGTGAGCATGTGGAAAGAGCAGGTGAGCATGTGGAAAGAGCAGGTGAGCATGTGGAAAGAGCAGGGGAGCATGTGGAAAGAGCAGGGAGCATGTGGAAAGAGCAGGGGAGCATGTGGAAAGAGCAGGTGAGCATGTGGAAAGAGCAGGTGAGCATGTGGAAAGAGCAGGTGAGCATGTGGAAAGAGCAGGTGAGCATGTGGAAAGAGCAGGTGAGCATGTGGAAAGAGCAGGGGAGCATGTGGAAAGAGCAGGGGAGCATGTGGAAAGAGCAGGGGAGCATGTGGAAAGAGCAGGTGAGCATGTGGAAAGAGCAGGTGAGCATGTGGAAAGAGCAGGTGAGCATGTGGAAAGAGCAGGTGAGCATGTGGAAAGAGCAGGTGAGCATGTGGAAAGAGCAGGTGAGCATGTGGAAAGAGCAGGTGAGCATGTGGAAAGAGCAGGTGAGCATGTGGAAAGAGCAGGTGAGCATGTGGAAAGAGCAGGTGAGCATGTGGAAAGAGCAGGTGAGCATGTGGAAAGAGCAGGGGAGCATGTGGAAAGAGCAGGGGAGCATGTGGAAAGAGCAGGGGAGCATGTGGAAAGAGCAGGTGAGCATGTGGAAAGAGCAGGTGAGCATGTGGAAAGAGCAGGTGAGCATGTGGAAAGAGCAGGTGAGCATGTGGAAAGAGCAGGGGAGCATGTGGAAAGAGCAGGTGAGCATGTGGAAAGAGCAGGGGAGCACATGGAAAGAGCAGGTGAGCATGTGGAAAGAGCAGGTGAGCATGTGGAAAGAGCAGGTGAGCATGTGGAAAGAGCAGGTGAGCATGTGGAAAGAGCAGGTGAGCATGTGGAAAGAGCAGGTGAGCATGTGGAAAGAGCAGGTGAGCATGTGGAAAGAGCAGGTGAGCATGTGGAAAGAGCAGGTGAGCATGTGGAAAGAGCAGGGGAGCATGTGGAAAGAGCAGGGGAGCATGTGGAAAGAGCAGGGGAGCATGTGGAAAGAGCAGGTGAGCATGTGGAAAGAGCAGGTGAGCATGTGGAAAGAGCAGGGGAGCATGTGGAAAGAGCAGGGGAGCATGTGGAAAGAGCAGGGGAGCATGTGGAAAGAGCAGGTGAGCATGTGGAAAGAGCAGGTGAGCATGTGGAAAGAGCAGGTGAGCATGTGGAAAGAGCAGGTGAGCATGTGGAAAGAGCAGGTGAGCATGTGGAAAGAGCAGGTGAGCATGTGGAAAGAGCAGGTGAGCATGTGGAAAGAGCAGGTGAGCATGTGGAAAGAGCAGGTGAGCATGTGGAAAGAGCAGGGGAGCACATGGAAAGAGCAGGTGAGCATGTGGAAAGAGCAGGTGAGCATGTGGAAAGAGCAGGTGAGCATGTGGAAAGAGCAGGTGAGCATGTGGAAAGAGCAGGTGAGCATGTGGAAAGAGCAGGTGAGCATGTGGAAAGAGCAGGTGAGCATGTGGAAAGAGCAGGGGAGCATGTGGAAAGAGCAGGGGAGCATGTGGAAAGAGCAGGGGAGCATGTGGAAAGAGCAGGTGAGCATGTGGAAAGAGCAGGTGAGCATGTGGAAAGAGCAGGTGAGCATGTGGAAAGAGCAGGTGAGCATGTGGAAAGAGCAGGGGAGCATGTGGAAAGAGCAGGGGAGCATGTGGAAAGAGCAGGGGAGCATGTGGAAAGAGCAGGTGAGCATGTGGAAAGAGCAGGTGAGCATGTGGAAAGAGCAGGTGAGCATGTGGAAAGAGCAGGTGAGCATGTGGAAAGAGCAGGTGAGCATGTGGAAAGAGCAGGTGAGCATGTGGAAAGAGCAGGTGAGCATGTGGAAAGAGCAGGTGAGCATGTGGAAAGAGCAGGTGAGCATGTGGAAAGAGCAGGTGAGCATGTGGAAAGAGCAGGGGAGCATGTGGAAAGAGCAGGGGAGCATGTGGAAAGAGCAGGGGAGCATGTGGAAAGAGCAGGTGAGCATGTGGAAAGAGCAGGTGAGCATGTGGAAAGAGCAGGCGAGCATGTGGAAAGAGCAGGTGAGCATGTGGAAAGAGCAGGTGAGCATGTGGAAAGAGCAGGTGAGCATGTGGAAAGAGCAGGTGAGCATGTGGAAAGAGCAGGGGAGCATGTGGAAAGAGCAGGGGAGCATGTGGAAAGAGCAGGTGAGCATGTGGGAAGAGCAGGTGAGCATGTGGAAAGAGCAGGTGAGCATGTGGAAAGAGCAGGTGAGCATGTGGAAAGAGCAGGTGAGCATGTGGAAAGAGCAGGTGAGCATGTGGAAAGAGCAGGTGAGCATGTGGAAAGAGCAGGTGAGCATGTGGAAAGAGCAGGTGAGCATGTGGAAAGAGCAGGTGAGCATGTGGAAAGAGCAGGGGAGCATGTGGAAAGAGCAGGGGAGCATGTGGAAAGAGCAGGGGAGCATGTGGAAAGAGCAGGTGAGCATGTGGAAAGAGCAGGTGAGCATGTGGAAAGAGCAGGTGAGCATGTGGAAAGAGCAGGTGAGCATGTGGAAAGAGCAGGTGAGCATGTGGAAAGAGCAGGTGAGCATGTGGAAAGAGCAGGGGAGCATGTGGAAAGAGCAGGGGAGCATGTGGAAAGAGCAGGTGAGCATGTGGAAAGAGCAGGTGAGCATGTGGAAAGAGCAGGGGAGCATGTGGAAAGAGCAGGGGAGCATGTGGAAAGAGCAGGGGAGCATGTGGAAAGAGCAGGTGAGCATGTGGAAAGAGCAGGTGAGCATGTGGAAAGAGCAGGTGAGCATGTGGAACGAGCAGGTGAGCATGTGGAACGAGCAGGTGAGTGTGTGCAAGGAAGAAGCGAGCAGGGAGAGAGCGAAGGAGAGAGGGAATAGAGAGAGGGAGAGGTGGGGGTTGAAAGGGGGGAGGGTGAGGGAATTGAGCTGGCAGGGGAGTCAGAATGAATGGCCGATCTCCAGGGTGCAGGCAAGCTGCTAGCTGAGTGGATGTGAATTGCGGTTCGGAGGTGCCTCAAAACATAGGGCAGGCAGGCAGGCAGGCAGGCAGGAAGGCAGATGAGTGACTAGGAAGCATAGTTTTGAGAAATCTCAAAACTAAACTACTAAACCATGTGAATCGCGGTTTTGAGGTACCTCAAACACAGGGCACGCAGGAAGGCAGGCAGGCAGGCAAGCACGCGGGCGGGGGGGCGGGCGGGCAGGCGGGCAGGCAGGCAGGCAGGCAGATGAGTGAACCGGGGGGGCGTTGTCGGTCGAGGCGGTACGATACGACTCGACCTCTGAGAGCGAGGTGATGCTCAAGTCGAAAATAATATCCCAAACGACTCTAGGGTGCTCCTGGGTGCCATCGTCCAGGCCAGGGTGCCATCCTCCAAGCCAGGGTGCCATCCTCCAAGCCTGGGTGCCATCCTCCAGGCCAGGGTGCCATCCTCCAAGCCAGGGTGCCATCCTCCAGGCCAGGGTACCATCCTCCAAGCCAGGGTGCCATCCTCCAGGCCAGGGTGCCATCCTCCAGGCCAGGGTTTCATCCTCCAGGCCAGGGTGCCATCCTCCAGGCCAGGGTGCCATCCTCCAGGCCAGGGTGCCATCCTCCAGGCCAGGGTGCCATCCTCCAGGCCAGGGTGCCATCCTCCAGGCCAGGGTGCCATCCTCCAGGCCAGGGTGCCATCCTCCAGGCCAGGGTGCCATCCTCCAGGCCAGGGTGCCATCCTCCAGGCCAGGGTGCCATCCTCCAGGCCAGGGTGCCATCCTCCAGGCCAGGGTGCCATCCTCCAGGCCAGGGTGCCATCCTCCAGGCCAGGGTGCCATCCTCCAGGCCAGGGTGCCATCCTCCAGGCCAGGGTGCCATCCTCCAAGCCAGGGTGCCAGAAGGTACCTACCTCCAGGGTGCTGGCAGCTGGGTGAATCGGGAAAATCCGGTCATGGCTGGAAGAACGTCCACATGCACTGAACCTGGCGCATGGCCCACTGGAGGCTCACAGGGGGGATGGATGGGGGAGGGAAAGGGGGAAGAGTGAGGGGGGGAAACAAGGAAAGAGAGAGATGTGATGTTAACAGCCGATGTTGTGTTTTCCAAGGGTGACTCACAGGCATAGAGCCAATTTTTTAGGGGCCTCAAAATGGACTCCTCACAGGCATAGAGCCAAAGAAAGTAAAACAGGGGCGAAGCCAATTCCTAAAACAGAGAGGAGCAGAGGCGAAGGGAAGGGAAAGCAAGAGCAGAAAAGCGAGAAGCCGGGACCTTTCTCTTGAAGCAGAATGGCTGCTGTGCCACCAGGATAGTTGCGGTACGATGCGAGAGCAAAGAGAGACGAGAGGAGAAAGCTGGATGGGGACGAGGGGTTGTTGAAGGGGGAAAGAACGAAAAGGAATGAGAGAGAGGGGCGGGGGGGGAGGGGGAGTGTGGGGAGAGCGAGAGAAATTTACGGATATAGGGTTTAGGACAGGAGGAAAGAAGAACCAGGGTTCCAGGTTTCAAGCTGAGAATTGAAGTGGGGGGAGGGGAGAAGGAACGAACGAGAAGAGTGCAATGTTCACGACAAACGGGCCCTGGCATCGCAATGAGCCATGATCAATTATCAATGATTAATGGTCAACTATCAATGATTAATGGTCAATTATCAGCTGGCGAAGACAGCAAGCATCAGCATGTGGTGTGCCAGAGCAAAGAGCAAAGAGCAGAGAGCAGAGAGCAAAGAGCAAAGAGCAAAGAGCAACGAGCAACGAGTGCTACCTGGCAGCCAGAGCAAGAGGAGTGAGAGGACGTGCCACTGTGCCGATGGCCCTGCTGCTTCTGCCACTTGTGGCTAGAAACAGCACCTGGCTGGAAGTGGAGGCGGTGGGGGGGGGGGGGGGGGGGGAGGAGGGGGGAGTGAGAAGGCTTCAACAGAGGTGAACGGCGGAGAAACAGGGGAAAAGGAGGGAGAGGAGACAAAGGCGGGACCCAAAGAAATGGTGGAGGGGACAGCAGGGACCAAGGCGAGGGGTTAGAGATAAGTTTTTGAGATGCAAAGATTAGGTTGGATGCACTTGGAGGGGCTCAGAATGAAATGCGCTCACAACTGGAGGTGGTCCCATCTGGAGGGGGTCCCATCTGGAGGGGGTCACAATGCTTACAGTCTTGCTAGCGCACGGGCAGCAGAGAGGAGGAAGAGAGGCAGGCCCGGGAAGAGAAAGCGGAGCTCCTGCGATGATAGCGGATGGGGCACAAATGAAGAAGAGAGGCAGGTGAGGAGGAAGAGAGGCAGGCCCGGGAAGAGTAAACTGAGCTCCTGCAACGAGATGCAGTAGGGGGCACGAGATGCGATGGGGCTAGATGAGATAGAACGAACGAAGAAGAGAAAACGGTGAGCAGGAATAGAGGCAGGACCGGGGAGAGGAACCCAAGGTCCTGCAACAAGAGCGGATGGAAAAGGGATATCCGCCAAGGGCGAGCTGGCTGTGTAGAGGAGGCGCCTCAACAATGGAAAAGGGATACTGGCAAAGGGAGAGCGGGGCAGAGGAAAGGAGGGGTATCAGCCTCCACAAAAGCAGCTGCACCTGAGAGCTGAGACCTGGGACCCGAGTGTTGGATTATATATATCTATTGTAACATGCTCGACTAGTATACTAGCCAGGCGTACACCAACCTGTGGTGCACACATCAAAGTGCAAGGGGTGTTAATCCAAGCCTGAGTGGTTGGAGCCCCCGAGCACCAAGACCACAATATTGGGACCACGCAAGAGGCTCCCATGGTGGTTGGGTACTGTTCCTACCCAACTGCATGTGGCACTGTTCATCCTTCTCTTGCTAGCTTCCCTTCCTTCCCAACTTTCATATGTATGCTCCTGATTCCATTACTGAAACAACTTCAATACTTTCACCGAGACCCGAGACCTGAGGCCTGAAAGCCGTGACCCGAGAGCCGCAACCGATATCATTTTTTAGGCTCCTAAAAATTTGATACCTGTGACTCGAGAGCTGTTGAGATTTGTGAATCAAACCAAAACTCAACCTCAGAGTGGCTTGCCTTGTGTGGAAGGTACGAATAGAGGCCGACGAATGCGGCTGCTGGCAGGAAGAAAGGCAGCATGCGACGATCGAGAAGGGGGCCCAGCTAGAGATGAGGAGAGTGGGTGGAGGGGAGCGAAGGGAAGGGCAGGGAGGGAAGGAAAGGGCAGGGAGGGAAGGAAAGGGCAGGGAGGGAAGGAAAGGGCAGGGGGAGAAGTGTTGAGTTGGTGGCAGCCGAAGCAGCACCAGCAGTCTGATCTGCTTGAATGCAACAGGAAAAGGAAATGCAATGCGAATGCAACGGGGCGCTTAGGAACGACTGCTAGTAATAGCGAGGCGGCTCGAGGTGCGAGACTTACGTAGGAGTGAAGGCAGGCGAGGAGGAGAGATGGCTTGGCTTTTGTGTCAACTCAAACGCAAACAACAGCTAGTATCAGTGGGGAGAGGCCTGAGTTGCGAGACTTACAAAGGAGAGAGGGTAGGCGAGGAGGAGGGCGCGGGGAAGGGCAGACGTGAAGTACCAGTGGGGGCTGGACACCTGGTGGATAGGTAGAGGATGGGAGGGAGGGAGGGAGGGAGGGAGGGAGGGAGGGAGGGATGGAGGGCACAGCACAGCACAGCACAGCACATCACATTCACCACAGCCCACCACATCCCATCCCACAAAACCACAGGGCTAGTACCCCCCAGTCGGAGCTCTTGTTAAGAGCCGTGTTGAAGAAGAGCACTGTGCCCTCGGGCCACAAAGGGAACCGGCGCCACAGGAGAGAGTCCACTGCCACTGTCAGGCCTGCGCGTGCGGCGAGGGGAGAGTAGGGGGAGAGGAGGGGGAGAGGAGGGGCGCGAGGTGGTAGGAATGGGAGTGTATTATGGTACAAAATAGGGGTTGAGGACATGCCCTCGAGCCACAGGGGGGATTGGCGCCACAAGAGAGAGTCCACTGCCACTGTCAAGCCTGCACATGCGAGAGGGGGGGTTGAAGGGGGGAAAAGGGAAGGGGGGAGACAGCAAGGGGAGTGTGTTGTGTACAACTGGAGCGTTTCTGAGGCACATGAACCAGTGGAGAAGGGGGATGGAGCAGACATGGGCTTAAATCCGAGCCGGCTCGGCTTCAGGCCAAGCCTGGCCGTTTTTTTTTTTTTTTTTTGCCGAGCCGAAGCCTGGCTCGACCTGGCTCGGCTTCAGTGCGGCTTGAAGCGTTTTGAAACCCGACTCTAACCAGTGCCCCCCGCCCTAGCCTAAGCACCCTTTAAACACCCCCAACAACAACTCTGAACTCACCCTTTCCCTAAGAGCAACCCTATTACGTCCCCCCCCCCGCCCACCCACCCCACCGCCCCACCCTGGCTTCAGAGCTTAAAAAACGAGCCGAGCTGAGCCGGCTCGTATTACGGCTTGGCCTCGGCTCGTAGCCGGCTTCACCGAGCCGAGCCGGCCTTCAGCTGAAGCGAGCCGAATTTGGCTCGGCTCGGCTCGGCTCGGCTCGGCTCGGCTCAGCTCGGCTCGGCTCGGCTCGACTGAAGCCCAGATCGAAGCTGGATCGGCTCGGCTCGAAGTTGTGCCCACGCTATGGAGAGCACCACACCAGCACACACAAAGTAGAAGATGCAGCAGTGCAGCTTTGAGGCGCTTCAACGGTGCCTTCTTACAGCCGGGAGTGGCTGGATGGGGGAGTGGCTGGATGGGGGAGTGGCTGGTTGCTATGGCGGGGGGGGGATAGAAGAGAAAAGAGGGCTTACCCACAACCCTCTTACACTACGGATTAACACCCCGCAGAGAAATACAGTGGGTCTCGTTGAGAAGGGCTTGGGCACTTACCTAGGCTAGCTATGCCGGTTAGGACACATGTCAGGACAGCGGAGAGGAACGGGATGGAGCGAGTCTGCGATAAGAGGAAGGGCGATGGTAAGGAGAGGGATGCATAATCGAAAATACATCACATAGAGCGGGACATAATCTGCGTGGCAGTGGCTTCTTGTGATCGCTCTAGTAGGGAAAACTCGAAATTACGAAATTACGAACACTCGCTCTACTAGGGAAAAACATAGCAGAAGAGACGGTTTTTGAGGCGCCTCGAAAAACATAGCAGAAGACACAAACGGGAGAGGAATGGGATGGAGCGAGTCTGTGGTTATAGGAAAGGCGATGAAAAGGAGAGGGGTGGGGTATGAGGAAGTTTGGACTGGTTTTGTCGGCGAAAATTCGGATGACTTGAGGCACAAGACTCAAAAGACAACTTGGTAGTCAACTGCAGCAAGGCTCAGAGAAGACCCTTATTCTTAGTTTTAGATCTACTCTCAGAAGGCTTGCTGCGGATCAAATCCATTCCTCTCTCAGCTGCAACTTGCTTTGGAGAAGAACCTCATTCTTCGAAGGCTCTAAAGGTTACAGGAGCGGGAGCTAGGACTAACGAGAGGCGCGAGAAGGAGTGACTAACGAGTAGCAGGGGCAGCTTGGTGGGAGCAAGGAGCACTCGGATCGGAGGACAAGAAAGGCAAGGAGCAGAAGCGGAGAGCGGACACAGGAACGGGAGCTAGAGGCAGCGTGCGTGAGAGGAGTGACTAACGAGCAGGAGTGAGAGGCCGATGGGAGCAAGGAGCACGAGCACATCGCACCGAAAGACGACAAAGGCAAAGACCTGCAGGAGAGACAGAGAGAGGGAGAGGTAGAGAACGATATACAAGCACGTAATACACACCAATATAAGAACATCAGATATGCACCAGCATGAGAACAGGGTAGCCAAGCATAGGTCCAAAGAGGTGCCCTGCTGGCACAGCATAGTGCGCTGAGGGTGCAAGGTGTTTTTGAGACGTTTAATAACCCTAGACTCCAGGCACTGGTCCAAAGAGGTACCCTCCTGCCGCATAAAAGTGCATCGAGGGTGCAGGGCGTGCTTCAAGCAGGGGTGAGTCCACACTCACAAGTGTCTGCAGGGTGCGTGCAGCCTTTCCCTTCAGCCAAAAGGTGAAAGCCAGGTTCGCTGCAGTGACAAGGGACGAAGCAGTAGAGAGAGTATGAAGTTCGGTATTGAAGCGACTCCAAAGGTTTGGTTACAAAATCGCAACAAGGGCGGTGCTGCAACGAGCGTCTGTACGTAGTGCTGTGCTGTGGGATGGCGAGGCAAGAGCAGAAACTTTGAAACGGCTCAGAAGGCGGTGGAGTGGAGTGGAGTGGAGTGGAGTGGACTACAGAAGGCAAGAGCAAAAGCCTTTGAGAATTGCCACAGTAGACAGTGGAGTGCAGTGGCGTACTGAGGGCAAGAGCGAAGACGTTGGGAAGGGGCCGAAAGGCCTTCTGAAACGCCTCAAAAAGAGGGTGGAGTGGAGTGGAGTGGATTGGCGTACCAAGGGCAAGAGCGAAGACGTTGGGGAGGGGGCGAGAGGCGTAGAAGGGCAGATGGAACTGCGAGAGCAGCAGTAGCGCCAAGTACCTCGCCGTGGGGGCGCCAAAGGTGGTGGCCACCTGATGGGAGATGGGCGAAGGGACGGAGGGAGAGGGAGGAAGGGGGAGGGAGGGGGAGGGAGGGGGAGTGGGGGAGAAGAGAGGAAGGGAGAGAGAGGGGAATGAGAGCGAGGGAGGGAAGGAGGAGGTTAGGCAGAGTTTAGTTAAAGAAGCCCATGTAAGTGTGTGCATCTGGTGTGATGTGATGTGATGGGACGGGATGGGACGGGATGGGATGGGATGGGATGGGATGGGATGGGGTGCGCGTACAGACACCGTAGTGGGTACCTCACCTGTCGTCGAAGCATGTAAAAAGAGAGGAAGACGAGGAAGCCAAGCATGCCCCGCACTGCATGCCACAGCCGCACAGGCAGGATAGGGGAGCACGCAGGACAGAGGCGCAGGCACAACAGGGGCGCAGGCACAGTGGGGGAAGGGGGAAGTGGCGGCGAGACGGAGGGCGGGCAGGGGGCAGGCATGAGTAGGGGCGAGAATGAGGGAATGGGACTAGAGTGGCAATGAGCAAGGGAAACCACTCTAGTCCCATTCACGTAGAGGAAGCCGCAGTGCAAGGGGGTGTCCATGTGTGCCAGCGACGAAAATCGCGTGCATCCATTATGAGACGTGCATGCATGCATGCATGCATGTACAGTGTACCTACCAATAACGAGAGCTACGATCTTAGACGCTCCGAGAAGGTGAGTGAGAGCCACTAGCGGGGATGACAGCACAGCCACTAGTATGGCACCTGGACACGAAAAGAATGGAAAGCGGGAGGGAGAGGGCGAGGCGGGCGGTGGGAGGGGGGGGTAGAAAAAGGGGGGTGGGTGGGGAGGGGATGGGCAGAGGGGATGGGCAGAAGGGATGGGCAGGAGGGAAAGGCCGGGGAGTAGATGGGAAACGTGAGCCGAACCGAAACAGGGGAATGGGGAAAGGTGTGAGGGAAGAGGGAAGGAGGTTGAGAGAAATGAGGAGCATGGGGCGAGGGAGAGAGAGAACGCACCGAGAAATGTTCGAGGCACAACTCCCGGAAACTCCATGTGATCATACTGCCCATAAGAGGTGCGGCGGGGGGAGAGTTAGCAAGGCGGGGGGTATAGGGGTGGGTGGGGGAGAGTTGGGATGGACAAAAGGGAGAAACTGGTGGTTTTGAGAGCACTCAAGAGGAAAGAGGAAACTCAAGAGGTCAGCGTACTGCCTATGGAGGTGGGCGGAGGGGTGGGGTGGGCAGGAGGGAGGAATTTGTGGGCAGGGGAACAGCTGGCCCCACAGCTGGCCGCACAGCTGCACAGCTGGCCGCACAGCTGGCCTCACAGCTGGCCTCACAGCTGGCCTCACAGCTGGCCTCACAGCTGGTGTCACAGCTGGCCTCACAGGTGGAAAAGGGAGGAGAATGGGGGGGAGGGGGAGGAGGTGGGGGGAGAGGAGAGAGAGATAAACGTGGGTGGTGAAGGGTAGGAGGGAGGTGTGACGGCATGTGTAATACCCCTGTGGACGGACGCAGGGCATGATGAAGACATGGGTGGGGGCCCCATTCTGAGAAGGGAACGGGGCAAGGGCTCCGACGATGATGTGGCAGAGCTTATCCCTGCTTCGGCTGACGTGGCAGTGCAAGGATGTGGCACGGATGCGCGGTATTACCTGGGACAGGTGGAATCTGTGGAAGAGCAGATCGTGCATGGCCTGCGTGGGAGAGGAGAAGGGGAAGGGGAATGGGAAGGGGAAGGGGAAGGGGAAGGGGAAGGGGAAGGGGATGGGGAAGGGGATGGGGAAGGGGAAGGGGAAGGGGAGGAATAAGAAGGGGAAAAGGTGAGGTAGAAAAAAAGGGAGCGGGGCAGCATGATGTAGAATGGAGAGGATGCAACTGGGGAAGGGAAGTTACAAGGCGCCTCAAAAATAGATGACGAAGGGTGCACCTGGGGACGGAACTGGCTCTCCTCACCTGCGTGAGGAGTCTATTTTTGAGGCGCCTCAAAAATAAACTGGCTCTCCTCACCTGCGTGAGGAGTCTATTTTTGAGGCGCCTCAAAAATCAACTGGCTCTCACCTGGACGTTGAAGCTCTCTTCCACCTTGGTGAAAGGCGCCCACCACACGTGCGCCCATATCACCGCCAGCAACGCTGCGTCTAGAACTGCAATGCAAGGGCGAGCAGCAGGGGAGAGAGGAAGGGGCAAGCATGTATGTAATAATGTAAGCGTACGGACTGAACCCACGTGCACCCAAATAGTCGCCAGCGGAGATAGGTAGTTTAGTTTTGAGACGTCTCAAAGCATGTAAGCGCTGGGACTGAACACACGTGCACCCAGACAGCTGCAGTGGAGAAGCGGCGGGGATAGGGGAGAGGGAGGCGGAGTGATGTCATGTGCCGCGTCGTGTCCTGATGACGACAATGGCGACGACGACGACGGCGACGATGATGGCGACGATGGCGATGACGACAGCGACGATGGTGATGACGACGGCAACGAAATCAGCAGCTAGGACGGGTGAAGGGGCAGGTGGCATTTCAACCTCGCTTAACCCCTCTCAGCGACGCTTGGAACGGGGGTGGAGCGGAATGCGGACCATGGGAACGAATGTAGGACAACGCACCATCCACCGGGATTCGAGCCTCCCCGCTGGGATCTGCTTGCCGCGTCCTCCTCGGAGGCATGCCGCCGCCGTTATTGCTACCGTTACCGTTACCGTTAGCGTTAGCGTTACCGCCGCCGCTTTCGCTACCCCGCTACCGCTACCGCTACCGCCACCGCCACCGCTACCAGTACCTTGTTGTAATGCGTTCGCAAAACACGCTGCCCCAAGCAAGTTGCCAGCCAGTGTGTACCGTGGTAAACAGTGCGGATTTGCCAAATGGGTAAGGATTTTTGTGCCCGATATTGGCCTTTCGGGAAGTTGTGGGACACAGGCGTGCGTGCTTTCGTTATTGTACGACGAGAGGCAAAGTGGAAGTTGGGGGAATTTCTTTGGAACCGAACCGAACCCATGGGAGGCAAACCCTAATTCGTTTTGTCGCAAACCTCTCATTCATTTTCCTTTTGCCATCCTTGAGAGCAAATTCAAGTCATCCTCTAGCGAGTGACACCTTATCCACTTCCCCTCCCCCTCCTCCCCTTCCGCTGCCTTTCTCCCGTGACTTACGGCCGGGCATCGCACGCGCTCTCGCACCACGCGGCATAATCCCGGCTCGCGACGCTACTGCTTTAAAGCGCCAGGACAGAATGGTCAGTATATTGGAACTCGCCGGACGGGGAAGTTCAGGACTAACTACTCGAGGTCTAAGATTCATTAGCCTCGAGGACTCCTCCATCATCCAGCGGCTACCGTTAGTATTTTCAGTGCCCCGGAGTCCCGCGCTGCCTGCGCTTGGCAGCCGCGTCAGGGGCGGGGTTAGCTGGCCGCGCAATGGCGCGGGGGGAGCAGTGGGCGGGAGTGGAGCGGAGGGGGTTGCGGCGCGGGCGCAAGGGGGCGGAGGAAGCGGACGGGGGGAAACGGGAGCAGCTGACAAGGGGAGCGGCGGAGGCGGATTGGATGACATCGATTTTGCCGTGTTCAGATTCACCCTAGGTAGGCTCATCTGGCTAGGCTCATCTGGCTAGGCTCATCTGGTTAGGCTCATCTGGCTATGTCGAGCTTGGTCGACCCGTCCATTTCTTTTTTGTGCGCGTTACGATTTCATCACTCTCTTCCTCCCTCCTCCCCGCTCCTCTCTCCCCTCCCCCCACCCCTCCCGCCCCCCTCCCTCCCTTCGTCCCCCCTGTCTCTCCCCACTCACAACCCCCTCCCCAGGTCTCTCCTGGCTGGACGATCGCGACATTCCCAAGGTGGTGGGGACGCTGCTGGGTGTGGCGCTGCTGACCAACCACATGCTGACACCTCAGCCGCAACTGCCAGCTCAGACTGTAAGTACGGCTGCCAGGCCACTTTTGCACGCGAAAAATTATGCTTCCCCATGTGCATCAGCCATGCCCCCACTCCCCATTGCACGAAGTTTTAACTCCCCACTCCCTGTTGCAGCAGCTGATAATGTGACATAATGTGCAGCAGCTGCGATGTGACATGCTTCTCAACTCATTCGTTTCTCAGTTCATTTGACTGAGCTCCTTCTCATGATCAGATCTACTTTTGAGGCTCCTCAAAAACTGAGACTATTTTTTAGGCCCCTAAAAAGCTTAGACTATTCTTGAGGCACCTAAAAGCCTGAGACTATTTTTGAGGTGCCTTAAAAGTATTCCCAGCTCATCTGACTGAACTTCTTCCCGTGATTAAATCAACCCACCCACCTCACGGGCGGGTTTATGCCACACCTGTGACCTGTCCCTCCCGCCAGGTGTCAGAGTGCGTGGGAGTGCTGCTGGTCTTGGTGTCGCTGCTGCTCCCTTTCATCGACAGGAAACTGCAGGTGAGTCAGCGTGTGTCTCCGCATAGAGGGTTTGTGCGCATGTCTCTGCATAGGGGGTGTGTGTGCGCATGTATCTGCATAGAGGGTGTGTGTGCGCATGTCTCTGCATAGAGGGTGTGTGTGTGCATGTCTCTGCATAGAGGGTGTGTGTGCGCATGTCTCTGCATAGGTGTGTGCACACGCGCGTGCACGTCGTCGGTAGGTTGAGAAGAGCATGGGGAGACGGGCACGGTGCGTTTTGTATTTGTTGGTGTAAGCCGGCATGCTTGCGCTTCGAGGTGCCATGCATGCTTGGGCATGCACTAAGGAGCTTGGCACCCAGGTGCATAGGCACGTGTGTGCATGCATATGCGTGTTTATGCATATTCTACTGTTTCTGCGCACTGAAATGTGTATCTGCGTGCGTGCATTTGTGTGTGAGCAGGTGAGCAGCGGAGCAAGACTCACCTCTCCCTCCACCTCCTCCTCCTCCTCCTCCTCCCCGTCCCTCAAGCCCCTTTTCCTCCTCTCTGACGCTCTCCCTGAGCCCTGCAAGCCCGACATGGCATGGGCCACCTATGCTGCTCTACGCAACACCAACGCCTCTGCTCTCTTGGTATGGGCCATGTGTCATGGAACATGCAATGCGTGCATTTTCTTTGTATGCGACACGCGTGGGCTTTGCCTGCGTGGCCTTTGCCTGCCTGCTATGCACTTGCATGGCTCACTGCCACAGGCCCGTATTCCACTGCAGCATGCACTTGTCGTAGAAAAGGAAATAGTCCATGGCATGGTTCCCAGACTCCTCCTAGGTGACATTTGAGTCGACTCAAAAGCAGAAAATAGTCCATGGCATGGCGCACAGACTCCTCCTAGCTGACATTTGACTCCAACTCAAGGTTCCTTTCTCATCCCTCTCAACTACAAACCCTCCCCTCTCCACCATTCTCCACCACTCTCCACCACTCTCCGCCACTCTCCTCTGTCCCTACAGGTCCTAGATTCTAAACGTGGCCTTCTCTGTGCAAGAGGAAGCTTCTTAGCAGCAGCATGCCCGCCTTCAACCTCCTCCCCCTCCTCCCCCTCCTCCCCCTCCTCCTCCTCCTCCTCCTCCTCCTCCTCCTCCTCCTCCTCCTCCTCCTCCTCCTCCTCCTCCTCCTCCTCCTCCTCCTCCTCCTCCTCCTCCTCCTCTTCTCCATCACAACCCTCCCCACTTAGACCCCTCTCCTCACTTCTCTCCTCTGCTCTCTCCTCTTCGCAACCACTCAGACAAGCGATAGGCTCAGCAGCACTAGAGCCATCCATTGCCTCGTCTCCTTCCCCATCCCCATCCCCATCCTCCTCAGCATCATCATCCCCATCTCTGTTGTCCCCATTCCCACCAACCGTCCTCCTTCCCTCCTCAGCAGCCTCTGTCCTCTCCTCGTCCATCTCCCCTACTCGGACCGCCCTTCTCATCCCTCTCACCTCATCTCTTCAAAACAGCAGCAGCACCACCAGCACCAGCATTACCACCACCAGCACCAGCAGCATCATCCACGCCTCTCCTGCCACTGCTTCTGTAGCCGGTGCCCTCCTCTTGCTCTCCGATACACCTGATGCTTTCACCCCTGCTGACCGCCGTTGGCTGGCTTCTATAGCTGCACGGCTGCATGCCGTTCTGTCTTCTCCCTCCCCTTCTCCCTCCTCTCCTGCGTAACCTTAACCCTCCTGCTCTCCCTCTTCTCCCTCCACATCTCCCTCGTCTCCCTCCTCTTATCCCTCCTCTTCTCCCTCCACATCTCCCTCATCTCCCTCCTCTTATCCCTCCTCTTCTCCCTCCTCTCGTCTTCCTCCTCTCCTTCCCCACTGTCTGCTGGTGTCGGGGATGCTGGCTCTGAGGCAGAAGCAGCACTACAATACCTTTCGATAACTCCTTAAAGCCCGTGACTAAAATAACATTCAAGATTCATGATTGAATTCCTCTTGAACTTGGCATTTGATTGATATTAGAATTTATTGGGCTGAGAAAAGCCCTTAGGATCTTTCCAGAGACTAAGTCCCAGTTGTAGAATGAGACTTGAGTAGTGCAGCGGAAGTTGAGGCAGTTGAACCCTTATACTAGTATATGAGAACAAGTGATTGATTAAAGAAGAAAGCATACAGCAATATATAGAAAATAAGAAAGCAGTTGTAGAATACAGTTGCAGGAACGGTTATCGAGTCGCACAGCGACTCGATTGCCGCTTCGGTTACCATCCGTGATGTTGTAACGGTCAGTCGTAACCTCCAGTTGCGACCTTTCGAGTCTTTTCGCATTCTTTGTCCGCCCCCTCGTGCAACCTCCGTTCACTCGCGTGCTCCCCTGTAATCTTCCTCGAGTACAGTGTTATACTTCAGAAACGCTGAAGTCTTTTGAGATGTTTCCAACACTCCCCTTCGTTTCTGGAGTGCTGGCGTGTTCAGATCCGGTGACGTTTGTTTGCCCGGTTAGGAGCATGCAGTAGTCGAATTTTGCTTTCGCCAATTTCTTCGTCAGATAGTCTGCGGCCATTTCTGTCGTCGGGCAGTAGCTGAGTTGAAGTCTCCCCTTCGCGATTTCATCCTTGACGAAGAAGTACCGCAGCGCGATGTGCTTGGTTCGGTTGGCGAAGCCGTCCTTGTTCGCGATTTTGATCGCAGATTGGTTGTCGCAGAGGAGTGAGAAACGGGCAGGGTCGCGATCTTCGCTTCCTCGAGCAACTCTCGTAGGTAGAGTCCTTCCTTGGTCGCAGTGCAGAGGGCGATATATTCTGCTTCAGCCGAAGATAGTGCGATTAGTTCCTGCTTGCTCGACTGCCATGAGATAGTCCCGATAGGTTCTAGTCGATAGATGTAGCCCGTTCTCGATCGTCGATTTTCCCTGTCTCCCGCGTGGTCGGCGTTGACGTATCCGAGTAGTCGTACGGACGGTGTTGTTGCTTTGCTGTAGGTAAGCCCGATAGTCGGCGTGGAGACGAAGTAGAGTAGTGCCCGGTTGAGCTCCTCGAGGTCTTCTTGTTCTGGCTGCTTCAGATGCGTCGCCAGTTGGCTCGCGCTATAAGAGAGATCGGGTCGGCAGGTTACTGCTGCGAATAGTAGGCAGCCGAGCTTCTGTTGATACTCCTGGATTTGCTTCGCGGGGAGTTTTGCGGAGGTGCTGTTGTTGTTCCCGTAGCGGTAGGGAGTTGGGACTGTAGTCGGCGTTAGACCGAATTTCTTCGCGACGGTGCCTGCGTACTTTCCAGCGTGTAGGTAGAACGCCGAGTTGTCTTCGACGACATTCAGTCCCAGGTACTGGGTCACTGCGTCGGACACCGTGAGTGTCAAGTCCTCTTTCAGCTCCCCTTCGAACCAGGTGGCGATGTCGGTAGTGGAGCCGATGAAGAGCAGGTCGTCGACGTAGACGATGAGAAGGATAAAGTCTCCTTCCTTCTGTAGTCGATACATGCCTTGGTCGTGCGGCAGTTGTAGGAAGCCGATTCTGACGAGGCGGCCGTGAAGATGCTGCTGCCACAGCCGCGGAGCTTGTTTGATCCCGTAGAGGGATTTTATCAGCTGGCATACTTTTGTAGGGTCGTCGATGAAGCCGTGGGGCTGCTCGACGAAGATTTCGGCGTCCACAGGTGCGTACAGAAAAGCATTTGCGACGTCGATTTGGCGCAGTGGTAGTTTCTTCGTGGCCGCGACGGCGAGTAGGATGCGCAGGGAGGTGTGACGGGAGACTGGGGCAAAAGTTTCTGTGTAGTCGGTTCCGTATCGTTGATCGAAGCCTCGTACGACCCATCGAGCTTTGAATCGTTCAATGGAGCCGTCTGCGTTGGTCTTGATGCGGTACACCCATTTTCCCGAGAGGACGTTCTTCCCGTTGATGCTTGTTGCAGGTACCAGCTTCCATGTATTTCGGTCTTGCAGAGCCTTTAGTTCCTTTTCCATCGCTTCCTTCCATTTCGCCTTATGTTCCCCCCCCATAGCCTGCGACAAAGTTGAGGGCTCGCGCGGAGATGGCGGCGGCGGATGCTGGACGGAGACCCAGAGGCCGAGGATCTGCAGTCCCGTTGGTGTGTGTCGAGGGGAATTTTCATTCCCGGAATAAGCTGCTTCGTCACCGTCTTCTGGGTCAGGTAAGAAGTTGGGGCCGATGCGTTCTGAAACATTTGTGTCGACCGGGTGGGGTGTAATGTAACCTTGGTCAGCAAAGTGGTAAAAGGTGTCGAGGTTGGTACTATCGAGAGGATTGTCTTCGTCGAGTGGAACAGGTACGGAACAGAAAGGGAGTGGTCCGGCAGCTTCCGAGGCTCGAGGTACGTCTTCTTCTGCTGCGTTAGCCTCGGCAGCATGGTCGGCGAAGGAACGAAGGCCCGTGAAGCCGTCGGTGGGGTCGTGTGTGGTGGCAATGTTGTCCAGGTAGTGCTGCAGCGTCAGTCGCTCGTAGAAGATAACATCACGTGATGCCACTATATTTTTGTCTTGTATGTCGAGAATTTTCCATGCGTGAAAGTGTTTTGCGATGCCGAGGTGTAGTCCCCACCGAGCTCGTTGAGTGAAGCGTCCTGCTCGGGCTGTGTGGGGTCTGTACTGTACCATGCAGCCGAAGACTCGAAGTAATTTTGTGCTGCCCCTTTTTTGTGTCCACAGCAGGTGCGGTGATGCGTTGTTGGGAAGCGATGACGAGGACAACAAGTTGTGCAGGTGGACTGCATGTGTCATCGCGTCTGGCCACAGTGTGGTGGGCAGTCTCATCCCCAGGAGCAGCTTTCGCATCATCGTCTGCAAGGTCCGGTTCATTCGTTCTGCGACCCCCTGCTGCTGGTGAGCGTAGGGCAGAGACACCAGGCGTCTGATTCCTCTTTCCGCCAGATAGGTCCTGAAGCGTTGTGACTGGTACTCCAGTGCACCGTCTGACTGGAAGCTCTTGAGCTTGGTTCCTGATTCTCGTTCGGCGATGGGTAGCCATGTCGTGAAGGCGTCGAAGGCTTGATTGCGCGTCTTGAGGTTGTAGTGCCAGACGTATCTTATTGCTGCGTCGATAAACGTGATTACATAGTTCAAGTCTGCTTCAGCCTTCTCGAGGCATGTTTAAAATGTCGCTGTAGACTTTTTCCATCGGTGCGTATGCAGGTGCGCTTGGGTTGTGATGAGATGGGAAAGGCTGGTGGGGAAGATCGGCTTCGGGGCACGTAAAGCACCGTGCGCGTGGTCGTCGAAGTTCTTGGCCGCTCATTGTTAGGAGAGCGTTGCGTTCTAACACTTCGGCTTGGATGGTTTGTAGTATTGTACTATTTGCAGGGTGCCCGAGGCGTTGGTGCCAGATGTCGTCAGGAGCGCGATGGCCGGGCGAGCGGTGGTATATGTCGGTGTTGGAGAAGAACGCGACGACCGTGGCGGGGCTTCGACAGACTTCTCGTGTGATGGGCATAAGTTGATCTGCTTTGGTTGGCGGTCCTCGGATTGGTGGTGGTGGTACTCGGCTGGGTCCTGCTGCTACTACTGCAGGTGATGGTTGGGAAGGGACACTTGCTGGTACTTGTCGTTCTTGTCTGATAACTGCTAATGCTCGAGTTCTCTCTGTTGCAGGTATGGTGTTTGAGTGCCAGAATCCGTCAGGGTCGAAGTCGAGGTCAAGATCCGGCGGGTGTGTCCAGGCGGCGAACGATACGATTCCGTCGCTGTCGGCAGTACCGCGGTCGGGGACGAAGTCCAACCCGAAGACGCCGGACTTCAGGAGAGCACGACCGATGAAGAGACCGCCCTTCCCGTGGTAAAGGCGAAACTCGTTGGAGTAGGAGTCGCACTCCAGGTGAATCCCTTTTGCCATTAGCTGGCTTACGCTTAGTAAGTTGTATCCCAAGTTGTCGACGATGAGGACCTTGTTGAGTTGAAGTATAACATTTGTCTCCATGGATTGTAACTGAACCACGCCTTGTCTGTTTGTTTTCAGGTTCTCGTTGTTGGCGACGGTGATGATGACGTCGCGGTTTAGGCGTCGCTCTCGTTGCACGAAGCGTCCGGAAGAACACATGTGTTGACCGCAGCAGCTGTCCAAGAACCAGGTATTTCGCCCGGTGGGTTCGGCGTTGGCGACCGCAGCGTATGTCGGGTTGACCTGAAGTCCTTGTGAGCGCGGCGGCGGAAGTTCTTCTTCATCTGGTGCGTAGGTGGGTGGTGATCCGGGTGCGCAGTTGTCGATGTGTACCATGCAGTTAATGATGTTCGGTGTCCCTTGTGCAGATGTGGAGGAGCGCCTTGGAGGGCTTTCTTGAGTGGAGGCGACGTGTGGGTCTACTGGACGATAAACACGAGGACGTGTGCAGTTGACTTTGGAATGTCCGGAAGTCTGACAGTTGTGGTAGAACGGCGGCACGAAGGTAAGTCCTCTGTTGTCGCGTTGATCTTGTTTGCCACGTCGATTGTAGTTGTTGTCGTTCCTTCGTTGAGTGTAGAAAACTAACTGCTGCTTCTTCCTTGGTTGTCTTTCTTCGAACAGGTCCATCTCCTGTTGTTCAGCATGAAGCTCGGCGCAGAGATGCATCTGCGAGATCCTTCCGTGGGCGCGAAGAAGCGAGCGTGTGGTTCTCCATTCTGGTCCGAGCCCGGCGAGGACAAGCGTCACGAAGCTTTCCTCAGTGATTGTTCCTCCGCACCGAAGCAGGCGGTCGCGGAGGGTCTGGCAGCGACTCATATACTGCATCGCCTTTTCCCCGGTCTTCATCTGTATTGTTGTCAGTTGTTGCATGAGTCTGCTTTGTGTCACACTGTCGTTTGCTTGATAGAGACACTTGAGATGATGCCATGCGAGTTCCGCGGAGTTTCCATAGCTCCGATATGTTCTGATGCTCTGCTGTTCTTGTGGTGACAGGTTCCGCAGGCTCCTGTGTGTACGCCAGCAGCGACTGATAAGTAAATATTTCTTGTTCTTTTGCAGTGCCATTGCTTGGGAATGGCAGGGACCCGTTGAAGTATTCAAGGAGATGCGCAGCCTCCATCAGCAGCTCGAACTCAGAACTCCAGGTAAAGAAATCGTGTCCGTTGAATGGTGATGATGTCTGCAGTTTAATCACGTGTGAAAACTGCGCCTGGAGACTTAAAATCTCGTTTGGTGTTTGTTGTG